CTAGACATGTTAAAGAACTAGTAGTAAAGTTAAAAGGTAGCTAGAAGGGGGCAGTTGACATAAATGCATATGTAAGGAAATCGGTACCAAAGGTTCATGTGAGACAGAAAGGACATTGTGTCAGAAGAGAATGATCAGGGCTCAGGCTGCCATGTTATTATTTGTCTTTTATAGTAATGCTCAAACTGTGCTTTAAATTAGGCAGTACAGAACTGTTGTGTCTCTGATATTTAGTTATGTAAGGTTAGAACCATATCTTTTTATAGAAACATTGAGAAGACGTAGACTTTCATTTAATTCTCTGGTGATATTTTCTTTTATTTTTAAAATTTTGGTGTAAGGCAATACATTCACATAGTTCAAAAATAGGCATATTTATGTGTGTATACACATACAAGCATGCATGTACACACACATATATTGGAACGTCTTCCTTCCCACTCTGTATCTCGGGTAACTACTGTTCATGATGTATGTGTGTCTTTATGCATATATTAGCAAGTACTTATAGATCTTTTTACCTGTCCTTTTTTTTTTTTTTAGACGGAGTTTCACTCTTGTTACCCAGGCTGGAGTGCAATGACGCGATCTTGGCTCACTGCAACCTCTGCCTCCTGGGTTTAGGCAGTTCTCCTGCCTTAGCCTCCTGAGTAGCTGGGATTACAGGCACGCGCCACCATGCCCAGTTAATTTTTTGTATTTTTAGTAGAGATGGGGTTTCACCACGTTGACCAGGATGGTCTCGATCTCTTGACCTCGTGATCCACCCACCTCGGCCTCCCAAAGTGCTGGGATTACAGGTGTGAGCCACCGTGCCCAGCCCTACCTGTCCTTTTTTAATAGAATGAGTAGCATATTTTAGAGACCTTTCCATATCAATTCATAGGGTATCTTCATCTTATGCTAAATTGCCCTATGAATTTTTTGTTGGGACTTTTTCTGTTTTGGTTTTTACTTTGTGTTCTGTGTTTTTCCTTTTTTCAAGTAAAATTTTCATATGGTGAAGTGTACAAATCATATATTCAGTTCAGTTAGATTTGACAAATGCATATACCTGTTTCAAGATAAAGAATATTTCAATCATCCAGAAAGTTCTTTCATACTCTTTCCTAGTGGTTCTTCTGGAAACAACCACTGTTTGAAATTTTTCACTTTGAATTTGTTCTGCCACTTCTGGAACTTCATAGTGGAGTCATGCACTGTAGATGCTTTAATGTTCAGCTTCTCTTGATCAGAATATTCCCAAGATTCATCCATGGGTCAGTAATTCTTTTTCAAGATTGTTTTGCTATTCAGATTCTTAGTATTTCCATATACATTTTAGATCAGCTTGTCAATTGCTACAAAAAATTTTTGCTGAAATGGTGACTGTAATAGATACCAAACAAATAGGCAACAGTCATTAGGGAATTAGGGCAGATGGATATCTTAATATTGACCCATCTGCTGTATCTCTACGTAGCTTTTAAAAAAAATCTTTGAGCAAAGTTGAGTTTGGGCAGAGTTCACAGTCATATTTTGATGTTTTTCCCTTGTGCCTCTTTCTTTACAGGATATCTTCCTCCTTTTTTCAAACTCTGGCAGCCCCAAATGTGTCCTCTGATTCTAGGGATTCTAGGTCAGTAAAACTGCAGTTTTCTAAAAACAACAAAAAACCCCTGCAGTGTTCTGTTTGAATCTAGTTGCCCTGCCTAGCAGTGACTAGGGAGTGCCCTTGGGGACACAGCCACAGAAATGCAGCTCTTATCCAGTGCAGTTTGCAGCTTTGACAGGTGGTCCTCCCTTCAACTTTTGTCTGTTTTTGATCTGTCTCCACTGTTTTCAGATAGTTGATTGTTATATTTTGTTCAGTTTATCATTGTTATTTGAAGGAAAGTTAGCCTGACTGAGGCTGCTCTGCCATTACTGGTAGTAGAACCTCCCTTCTGTTTTGTGTATTTTGCTAATTGCATACTGTTTTAATTATTGAGAATTTATAATGTGGTTCAGAATCTGGTAGGGCAAGTCTTTACTATTTTTTGTTAGAATTTTTCTGGTCATATTTATTTATTTTGGCATATTATAGTATTTGGACTAATACCTGGATTTTTAAAAAATTTATTGAGATTGTACCAAATGTATAAATTTGGTAGAAGGATTATCTCTATGATGGTATCTCCCTGTCTAGGGTCCTATGTTTTTCTCTTTGCTCAGTGTACTTTTGTGTTCTTTAGTTATGTTTAAAATGTTTCTTTGTATAGTTTGACACAGTTATAATTACATTTATCTAGATGCTGCTTATACAACTCTCATTATCTAGGGGGAATTGGTTCTGGGATTTCCCACTGATACCAGAATTAGTGGATGCTCAGGTCTGTGATATAAAATGGCATTGTAAGCCTGGGCATGTTGACTGACTTCTGTAATCCCAGCAGTTTTGGAGGCTGAGGTGGAAGGATCACTTGAGTCCAGGAATTCAAGACCATATCTGGCAACACAGTGAGACTTTTGACTCTACAAAGTGCTGAAATTAGCCAAGTGTGGTGACACATGCCTGTAGCGCCAGCTACTCAGGAGACTGATGCGGGAGAACTACTTGAGGCTGGGAGGTCAAGGCTGCAGTGAGACATATTTTAAAAATAAAATGGCATTGTATTTGCATGTAACCTATGCACATTTTCTCATACTTAAAGTTGGCTGTTCCTGACCTTTTTGGCACCAGGAGTCAGTTTTGTGAAAGACAATTTTTCCACGGACCATGGCAGTGCAGTGATGGTTTTGGGATGAAACTGTTCCACTTCAGATTATCAGGCGTTAGATTCTCTTAAGGAGTGCCCAACCTATATCCCTCACATGCGCAGTTCACAATAGGGTTCTCGCTCCTGTGAGAATCTAATGCCACTGCTGATCTTACAGGAGGCAGGGCTCAGGCGATAATGGTCTCTCCCCTGCTGCTCACCTCCTGCTGTGCGTCCTGGTTCCTCACAGGCCATGGACCGGTAACAGTCTGTGGCCTGTGGCCTTGGAGACTCCTGCTTTAAATCATCTCTGCATTATGCAAAATATGTAATACTATGTAAATGCTGTGTAAATAGTTGTTATACCATACTGCTTTTAAAGTTTGTATTTTTCAGTTGTTGCATTATTTTTTAGTTTTTAAAATTTATTTTTACTTTTTTTGATCCACAGTTGGTTGAATACAAGGATGTGGAACCCTTGGATACAGAGGACTATGTTTTGTTATAAATTGGATTATTTTTAAAAATATTTTTTATTATGTAAACAGGCAATGGTTTTACTAGTTAGAAGCAAATTTAATGTTTTTAAATACATTTTTCAATTTTGTTAGGTATGATAATGATGGAACTGAGGCTTAAATATACCCTATGACAGCAGTTGGAAAGTGGCAGAATTAGGGTTGTGGTCTAGATCTGTCTGCCTCTAGACTGATTGCAAGTTCTTCACAATTACTGTTTATTCTTTTCTGATTCCTTTCAAGGATTAAGTAAAGTACAACTTAAACTTCAGACTCTATTTTAGATCCTGGTTCTCATGTCAGTCTCAGAATAACTTGAGTGAAACGTTCTGATAGCAGAGCAAATAGCCTCTTGTGCTACACTTTTGTTAATTATTTTCGAAGAAGAGTCTGCTGTATACCATTTCTTTAATAAACTCAGACTCAAGTCTGTAGAATTTAGCTGATTCTATTGTGATTTAAACTACATTGTGCTATATGTTTCCAATAGTTATTTGAGAAATCTTTTAAGTCATCAATGTCATGGTTTTTAAATCAGTTTATCTTTGGGAAAAAAGGCAAAGGTCTAAGTTAGCTGTAATTTACCTGGTGTTTTCTGACTTTTATTGTCTGGTAAATATTGCAGCCTGAAAAAGCAAGAGAATCTATAAAACACTTCAGTGAGGTGCTGGAAAATTTCCAAACATGTTTTGTTTTGAACTGTCCAGTCACTGTAGCCCCTAAAGCCAGGCATGTCTTGTTCCTGCAGCCTGATGGCTATGCGACAGCACCTGTAGCACTGAAGCTGAGGATGCCCTGTGATTCTGTTGCCTCACCACAGGAAGCCAGCACTTCTCACCATTGCCTTTTGAAATGTTGATCCAGTTAAGCTCACTAACATGAAAATTTGAAATTTTATCAGCTGCTTGATTTATTTTCAAAAGATGTTTTGAAATACTCCTTTCTCCGCATTGAAGTTTTGATGATTTTGTAATATGCGAGAAATGAACTTTTCTGAAATTATCTTTTGACTAGCTTAAAAAGTACAACTGAGTACCTGAGACATTGGCTGTCAAAAGTTCCATTCCAAAACTTTGTTTTAAGCTCCTTCCCTTCTCTCACTGACCAGAAGTCACTTTGACATGAAGTAGAAGTAGAGAAAAAGGGAGAATTATCTCTGGGCTGCCCATATTCTGGAAAGAAATGTGAGAGAAAAATTTTAAGATGCTATACTAAATTAGAATGATTTTGAAATCTATTTCTTTGTCCATTCTAGTGATAAGAGAACAAAGTAATTTTCAGTAAAACTTAGAAGTATCTTGAACAAATAACCTAAAAATCTTAACTGTGAATGTATGTCTATTTTTATTGAGATTTTTTTCTATATTAAAAATCAGTTGACATCTGTTTTTAGATAATTTTTTATAAAAACTGGATTATAAAATGAAGCACTGTTAGTAAAGCTCATGGCACAGGTTTTAGATCTTTTGAATAGAGGAAATTGGAAAGGGCATTATAGGTGTGATTCATTGAACTAGAGGGCATTGGTGTTCACATTTTAAAAACATAATCATGACTTATCTGGAGTCACATGTTCCATTTTATTGGCTTCCTTCATATAGAAAATATAGTAACTAGCACTAAATGCCTGTGAAAAAGTGAAGCAATTGTATATTTTCTGGGTGAAGGAAGTATTCTGTACATTCTCCATGTTTTACATCATGGTATTTTGAATAACCATGCTTCCATGTTCACATCAATTTTTTGTTTTTCAATTTATGCACAGCACTTGCTCTGAAATTTGGGGACTGAGTACACCAAATACGATAGATCAGTGGGATACAACAGGCCTTTACAGCTTCTCTGAACAAACCAGGTGAATATTCTGCCCTCTGTCGAATCCTAGAGATCTTGTGGGTGGGGGGTTATATTTTGGAAGACCTATATGGGGTTGCTTAGTGTAATTTTGCCTAGGATGTTTCCTTAATGTAAAATAAGGCATAGCATTTAAAATATCTGCTTGCCAGTATAAAAAATATATTAAATGTTTCAGCTGATGTTTTAATCAATGCAGTTCTAGTTTGAATCTTCTTTATTGTATCCCCTAAAGAATAAGAAGTTTGATAACTATTTATTTTAGCTTGAGATCAGATTATAATCTGTTGTTGGGCTAATTTTTAAGTAGATACATGATCAGTTTTACTAAATTTGTTATCAAAATCTCATCTTTTTACTAATAAATACATATTTAATGAACCCCTTATATCACAATTAACAGTAGGTTAACTCATTTTTATGTTACTTTTTAAAATCATTTCATTCTCTTTTTTGCGTATATGGTATTTGTTCATTTCATCTCATCATATTCATTACCATCCACATTTATTTGTGAACTATATAAATATACCTCAGTTCTCAAAGCAGTCACAACTGGGTAATGAGTTGCAGTAGTCTGAGGAAGTTACTATCACATCATTGTTGGTATTTATCATTCTTCACACTAGTTCCTTTTTTGACTGTTCAGTCACCTCCAGAATTAATACCCTTAGAAGCATCTCTAAAATGAGTTTGATTGACTAAACATAGAAGTTGACAAAGTTTTTCCAGTATAACTGCATAATACTTTTTTAAAAATTAATTTTCCCATGTAGTTAGCCTTTCATTGGCATTTGAGTCATTTATGTGACATATTTATCAGAAACATTTGCTAGTGCTGCTGCATACTTTTATCAGATCCATTAAATAGTACATTTTTCTTCTTGATTCTCACTAAAACTAACTAAATGGCTGTCATTCTTTTCTTTATGCTCTTAATGTACTAATTTATTATTCCATTTGACAACAGTTTTTTTTCTAAAGTTTCCTCCTTTCTTTTTCCCTTGCTTCCCAATAGGTCTCTTGATGGTCGTCTCCAGGTATCCCATCGAAAAGGATTGCCACATGTTATATATTGCCGATTATGGCGCTGGCCTGATCTTCACAGTCATCATGAACTCAAGGCAATTGAAAACTGCGAATATGCTTTTAATCTTAAAAAGGATGAAGTATGTGTAAACCCTTACCACTATCAGAGAGTTGAGACACCAGGTGGGAACATTGCAAGTTTTTTTCCTGGTTTTGTATTAAATGCCTGAACTTAAGTATATTTAGGTACTGTTGTGATCCAGGAAAATTTTAGTGTAAAAATCTAATAAATTACCTTAAATTGTGCATATTATTTGGTGGTAATTTAAAATGTTTTTTATTTTTTTAAATTTTTAATGGGAAAACATATCAGGGAAAGATATGTCTGTTTCTTGGAATAGCATATGATTTGGCATCGAAGTATGTATCCAGAAAATACTGTAGATTGGCAGTCTGCTTAGAGCTACACTGATGTGCTTCTACATGTCTCTGCTGCAGTAACTTATTTTTAAGCATTTTGCACTTGGAGTGCTTTTAGAAGTACTTTAATGACATTGTTTGTATATAAGCTGTTTAGTAAAGCTTGTGACAAGACTTTCATTTAGTTAGTTGTCTACCTGAAACTATTAAAAAATATAGCAATAGCTGTGAAAGTTTTCTATATCTGATTTTACAGATAAAGACAATGTTAACTTTTCCAGTGGGGATATATGAACTTTTATGGTAATATAATGTTACCAGGATCACATTGTTCCCAAAAGTTTGAGATAAATTAGAACTTGGAAATTTGAATAGTAGCCTATGTAAGTTAAAGCCATAGTCAGATTTGTCATTTTTTCAATAACTGATAGATACCTAGTTAAATAAACTAGTTAAATATATAGTCAAATAGGTGGTTCCTAACTTTAAAAATTAAGCTACAACTGCTTTGTCGTCGTCTTGTTGCAAACTAAAAAAGGTCCCCCCACTCTCCTTTGCTCTTTGCCGTTAACTTTGATTTCTTGAACTTTTTCAGTTTTGCCTCCAGTATTAGTGCCCCGACATACTGAGATCCTAACAGAACTTCCGCCTCTGGATGACTATACTCACTCCATTCCAGAAAACACTAACTTCCCGGCAGGAATTGAGCCACAGAGTAATTATATTCCAGGTATTTTTGCCTTCTGAATCTCCTAAAACTTGGATAGATAGAAATTTTGTTTATAAGCATTCAAGTATTAGTAAATTGTGGTTTCACTTTTTAAAAAATGCTTCTTAGTTTTTAGTAGAAAAATCTGGTTTGTTGGGCGAGTATCTTGTGAAATGTCTAAGCCTAGTAAATTAAACAGTTTTGTTTGGAGAAGAGTTTTACTTTATATTTCATTTTCTTTTGCAGTGACTTTAATCAAAGTACTGTGAGAAGCAGAAAAGAAAAGATCTTAGTAAGTTTGTCTTAGTTGTTGAAGCTAAGCGAGATGCAGAATGTAAGCAAAACAAATGGTGTAGGAAAAAAGTGCCCCCGAAGCACATGTGACTGAAAATCCACCCAGTGAACATTTTTTCTTAGCTAACTTGGTAATATTTAACAGAAATGTAACATTTTTATAAGAAATATACTTAGTTTTATAGACATAGCAAAACTTCCATGTTATACTGAACATCAGAAAACCTTTGTTTTAATTATGTTCTGTCTATATCTCAGTAATTCCAGATGAAAAATGAATTCAGCTACATGGTTCTCAAATTTTGTTCTGATATATTATGTGATCCAGTAATACTCCACCATATGATATCTGGCTTTTTCATTTTTAATTTTTTTTAGGAGAACAACTAATATTTTGTTAAGTTTTCTTGTATGTTTCCCTTTTTGTTTGATTTTTCTCCCTAGCAGAAATGACGTGATGTTAGCTTGAGGATTAAACTATAGTGTCTTGATTTCTTTCTTCCTTTTGTAATGTTCCTCTGTTCCACGCTTATTTTATACGCTAAAAATATGTAAGGAACTTAAGAGCATTTACAAAAAATTTAAAATACAGTTTTACTACTTAAATAATTATTTCTTGTATTCATCATGGAAATAATACTTACTCATTGAAGATAGTTTTTTTTTTTTTTTTTTTTGAGACGGAGTTTTGCTCTTGTTACCCAGGCTGGAGTGCAATGGCGCGATCTCGGCTCACCGCAACCTCCGCCTCCTGGGTTCAGGCAATTCTCCTGCCTCAGCCTCCTGAGTAGCTGGGATTACAGGCACTCGCCACCATGCCCAGCTAATTTTTTAAAATATTTTTAGTAGAGACAGGGTTTCACCATGTTGACCAGAATGGTCTCGATCTCTTGACCTCGTGATCCACCCGCCTCGGCCTCCCAAAGTGCTGGGATTACAGGCTTGAGCCACTGTGCCCGGCCGATAGTTTTTAATATATAAGAAAAGGAAGAAAAAAAGAAAAGGAAGATAATAACTAAGAAAAGTAGTATTTTTTTTTAATAGCTGGTTTTACAGATGCGAAGTGGTTTTTGATTATTTTAATGTATATTTCCTTGATTACTGTTTTATTCCAGAAGAGGATTTAAGGCTACTTTTTAGGTTTTTAAGAAATACAAACTTACTAAAGTTAAGAGAGGGAGAGGGTGAGATATAGTATGATATACTAGGATGAGGGAAAACATGAGACTGTGAAACAGGGCAATTGCTGGGTAGAAAAATTTGGTTTTACTTTTGTAAACTTGGCTGGGAGTGGAGTTTTGTGAATGTTGCTGTCGGGAAGGGGAGGCATTTTAAGTCATTAGTGTGGGAATTACTGTTCAGCCAGCAATACTAAGAAACTTAGGTACAAGCATGCAGTATTGTAACACACATACCCAGTAATTATTTGGAAGGATATTCACCAGAATGTTTAGTGGCTTTCACTTGTGAAAATGTTTGGGCTCATTTTTCCTTGCTTTTTTATTCCTTTAATTATTTAGATTGGAATATTTTGTAAAGTAGAAATAGGAGTAGATTATACCCATTTGCTTTTCTAGACAGTGGGGCTTTATCCAGTTCCAAGCAACAGCAAAACCACTTTAAGGAAATTTTAACATTTTCTCAAAAATGCTAATAGCTTTATTATTTATCATAATGATAATGGAAAAAAATAGGATACGCATTTTAAGGTTCAGCATTTCTTTCTGATTAGATCTTTGAGATATTGGTTAAACTCACAAAGCTTAGCTCTGTTTAATTTTATTAGCTTTAACTTTTAAAATATGCATAATATGTACACTTATGTTCTTTATTGTTTGAGCATAAGAAGATAGTTTATTCTTAGAATTTTTGTTTTAAGAATTTGGGGGTACTGACACTTAAATGAAAAGTTTGATACTTAAAGTTTGTGGTTAGCTTATTGAATAGATACTGTAAAAGGTTATTGAAGGATACCCTTAACCCTCTGGTCGCCCCCTCCCCCCCTTTTTTCTTTGAGATAGTTTTATTCTTGTTGCCCTGGCTGGAGTACAGTGGTGCAATCTTGGCTCACCACAACCTCTGCCTCCTGGGTTCAAGTGATTCTCCTGCCTCAGCATACTGAGCAAGCTGGGATTACAGGCATGTGCCACCATGCCCAGCTAATTTTTTATATTTTTAGTAGAGACGGGGTTTCTCCATGTTGGTCAGGCTGGTCTCAAACTCCTGACCTCAGGTGATCTGCCTGCCTTCACCTCTCAAAGTCCTGGGATTACAGGCGTGACCCACCATGCCCAGCCTCTTTCTTTTGCTAATTTTAAAATTCGGTTTGGATATGTGTCGGTGTTATCTTGAATTGCTCAAAAATGTTCAGCAGTGTAAATGTTAAACTGATGAAAATCTTTTGAACTTGTTTTTCCTCCTGGGAATTACAGTTGAGGAAATCGTATACATGATTTTATTTTATATGCAGTTTATTCAGCTATTCAGGTGCCTTTCTGAACATAAATGTTTTATTCAGACAGCATGTTGGAAATAATGTGTTAGTATCCTAATGTTTATTTTCAGGGAGCATTTTACCTCTTTATTATAGTAGTATCTATTTGAATTGAATTTTCTGCTTCAAACACTTAGACTTTACCAGTTAGGAATCCTTGGAAAAATATACTTTTTAGGTAGAATTTAGGCTGGACCAATCCTGAACCGTACTAGCTTCTTTTAGTCTATAGAACTTAGTGTAAGTTGTAAGCCTATAATATTTAATACTTTTATAATCCAAAATCTTTCGTGTGTGTGTGTGCGTGCTTTTAATTTTCTAAGTCCTCATAAAATAATGATGCTCATTAGATTAAACAACGACAACAATGAAAAACATTGTAGTTACTAATGGTTTTGCAGCTTACTGATTCAGATCTGAGGCATTTTTGAAGTTACATTTTTGGCTCTTGCCCCAGAATACGTACCTATAGTAATGAGCAAGATATGTAGATAATGTCTAAGAAAATATGTCCAGAGAGCAGGAGTTTATTAAAAGTAGATGTTAAGGATTCACCTGCAAAATTTAGACAAGATCCTGAATCATACATTCTCAGTATGCAATATTACTTTTATAATAATATTATATAACATTATTTGTTATTTGGAGTGATTATTCATTGGTTACCTTTGGTAGCTGGGAGAAAAGGTAGTGAGATTATGTTGCAGCTATGCTTGATTTGTTTTAAACTTTTGTAGAAACGCCGCCTCCTGGATATATCAGTGAAGATGGAGAAACAAGTGACCAACAGTTGAATCAAAGTATGGACACAGGTAAAAAAAAAAAAAAAAAATTAAAAAAATTTGAAAATTCCTCAGTGATTAGATATATATTTCTTGTATTGTTTGAAACTCACAAAAGATGATCTTCTATCTTGATTTAACATATCTGAACCATCAAAGGGGTCCATGTTGTCACTGAAAAATTACTGTATACTCTGCAGAGTAATTGTTATATTTTTTATTAGAGTAAATGGAAAATTTGAAAACATACACATGCTTTTATTTCTTCTTAAGTATTTGCTTCTGTTGAAGTTTTAGTTAACCCTGTGACTAAATACCTCTCTGTGATAAGAGACCATAATTAGTCAAATAACAGAGTTTCAGAGGAATTTGGGGTTGAAGGATAGGGATCAACTGTTCACTGCTCCTTGAACCTAATAGTGAGTTTTTAATTATAGTAGATTAATTTATTATATTTAGCTATAAATTCCAAACAATGATAGAGAAAGTTTTAAATCGCATTTTATGTAATAAAATGTATAACTCAGGACTAATAAATTAGCAGTGAAATCACTGATGTAATTGTCCAGTTTGATTCATTTCATCCTGTCTGTATCTTAACTATTGGACATCTTAATAATATCACAGCCAAATATCGCAGACAATATATGCTATCAGTCTTAATATCTCAGACAAATTATGCTATCATTCTTTCTCCACATCTTAATACTAATGTATTTTGTGGTTATGATAATCTAAATTATTTTAAAATGGATTATCATTGGTGGTGGAGGGAGGGGTTACAATAATTCTGTTGTTTAAATCCTTCCATTTTTTAGACTCCCAGGTAAAGAAGTTTCTGCTGTAGCTAATCATACATTTGGCTGTTTAGGAGTACCAGATAACTAAGAAAGGTAGATAATCTAATGAACGTTGCAAATAACATGTTATACATCTTAATGCAAATATCTTAATGCAAATGATATTTGACTTTCCACATGTCTTTCTAACATTAGATATCAACTCTCTTCTTGAAGCAGTAATATTCTTTTTTGCCTGTGATGGACAGCTGTTACTGTGACATTAAAAAGTGAATGACATGAAAAGATACTGAACATCATAAACCACAGTGAGATACTACCTCACACCCACTAGATGGCTATAATCAAAAAAGGAAAATTACAAATGTTGGTGAGGATGTGGAGAAATTGGAGTCCTCATATATTGCTGGTAGGAATGTTAAATGGTTCAGCACTTTGGAAAAGTTTGCTGTTCCTCAGAAAGCTAAATATAGAGTTAACATATGTGGCCAGCTATGTACCCGAGCAAATTGAAAACATGTTTACTCAAAAACTTGTACATGACCATTTATGCAAGCATTATTCTTAATATTCAGAACAACTCAGATGTTCATCAAATGATGAATGGATAAATAAGATGAGGTATGTTTCTGCCATAGAGTTATTCAACCATATAAAGTAGTGATAGTACAACATGAGGTTTGAAGTTGCCAGCATGGATGGACCTGGAAAGCAGTATGTTAAGTGAAAGAAGCCAGATAAAAAAGGCTGTAGGTATTCTAATTAGTGCACAGACACCTATTCAACAATGTAACTGAAACACAGGGAGCAATAATACAAGTATTGGTTATGATAAATGAATCAAAGTAAAAAAGTAGAGAATAACCTGAGTCAGCTGGCTAAAATGATTGCAGTGTTGGGGCTAACTTTGAACGCAACCTAATATTTGTTTCAGTGGAGTAGTGTTACTGGCTTTCTGAATGACACATTTAAAATTACTATATGGCAATATCTGATTCATCAGATGCCAGCAGTTGGTTTGGCTGCCAGCCTCTTACCCAATATCAGTTTCTCTCTCGGGGCCATGGCAAGAAACACAATTCTGACTGATGCAGGGCTCCAGTTTAGAACACAGTTGGCCACCTCTCTAACTGTGGTTCATACCTTCCAGAGGGAATCCTGCTGGGAAAAAAAATGTACTGAAATTTTTTAAAAGGGCAGCCAGAGGATTAATTAGGCATGATGAGTAACTATATGAACAAGCACTTGTTACTTTTTTTTTTTTAATTTAAATTTCTCTTGTCAAGACTTTCTTTCTTTATAGTCTTTTGGACTTTAGAGATCAGGCTGGACATCATAAGAAATTGAAAAGTCTGATTAATCTTTGTAGTATTGTATAATCAATCCCTTTTCAAGTCATGATTTTTATGAACATATTTGTTTAAATAGGTATATAGAGAAATAGAATATAATTGTAAGATGTGGATTTCATAACTCTCAATTCAGTTTTGTATCTTCTACATACACAATGCTTGGTCCAAGATATGCTAACAAAGACTTAAAGGGTTTTTTAATCTGCCTGTGTCCCAGAAGATACAATGCGGTCCTAAACTCCAATACCTCAGAATGTGGCCTCGTTTGGAAGTAGCATCTTTGTAAATGTAATTAAGATGAAGTCATACTGAACAATGGACACCTAATTCTATATGACTAGTGTCTTTATAAGATAGGAGAGAATACACCGTATCAAGATGGAGGCAGGTAACTGGAGTTAGCAGCTGCAAGCTTAGCAGTTCTTAATGGGAAACCCGAAAGCTTAAGAGAAAGGCATAGAACAGATTCTCCCCTTCAGCCTTTGAGAGTTTGGCTTTGTTGACACCTTGATTTGGGACTTATGTCCTCCACAGCTCTGAGAAAATAAATTTCTGTTGTTTTAAGCCACCCAGTTTGTGGTATTTTGTTAGAGCAAGCCCTAGGAAGCTAATACAGTGAGAATTAAGATTTTGAGACTTTCCTGCTCATAGGTGTATTTAGTTGTTTGTAAGTTATATACACTTGAAAATATAAACAAAAATTAGAAATTGAAGGATGAGATTAAATAAATGGAAAGTATGTTTTAATTTTTTCTTTTTGTAAACTAGTAGTTTTTTGTGCTCTAGATAGTGTTCACATACTCCACTTTAAAGACTACTCCACTTACAAGACTACTTCTCTTAAGCAAATGCATATAATTAAGATAGCATTGTCAGATTCTGTGCTAGACTACTTGAGTTTAAAATGTTTCTCTTCCATATACTAGCTAGGTAACCTAGTTTTATAATCTGTAAAATAGGGATAATAATGGCACTTACACCTTATAGGGTATTAACAGGCCTAATATTTATAAAGCATCTACGTGTTCCTAACCTGTGATAAGCACTGTATGAATGTAGCTAAAGAAAATGTTAAGGGAGAGAGATCCAAGATGGCTGATCGCTAACAGTTTGGGATTGTAGCTCCCAGTGAAAGCGCAGAGAACAAGAGGACGCCACGCTTTCAGACGAATTTTTGTCACTCACGGACCAGAAGATTCACAGTGGAGGGGCCCCACGGGTCGCCAGTGTGACTCTTGTGGCCAGCGCAGCGGTTTTGCCGGCGCCTCAGCACGGCAGCTCTTCATGCAGAGTAAACGGGAGGAGATTCCCGGGCAGAAGAGCACCATCAGTCTTATCGCTGCTGTTTTGGCCGGTGCAGTGGGTTGCTCAGATTCCAGCTCTGGGAATCAGTTTACTGATTCCCAGAAACCCAACTAGAAAGGCGGTAATTGTAAAGACGACCGATGGATAAATTTATAACAAAGGGAAGAAACCAGCCTAAAAAGGCTGAGAATACCCAAAATCAGAAGCCCTCTCCCTCTACAGGGGATTACAGTTCCTCATCAGCAACGGAACAAGCCCTGATGGAAAAGGACTGTGTGCCATTATCAGAAGTAGGCTTCAGAAGGTGGATGATAAGAAACTTCTGGAAGTTAAAAGAACTTGTTCTAACCCAATGTAAAGAAACTAAGAACTTTGAAAAAAGGTTTGATGAAATGCTAACAAGGATAGATAATATAGAGAGGAATATAAATGAACTAACAGAGTTTGAAAACACAATACAAAAATTTAGCAAAATATGCACAAGTTTGAATAGCCGAATTGATCAAGCAGAAGGATATCAGAGGTTGAAGACCTACTTAATGAAATAAAATGAGAAGACAAGAATAGAGAAAAAAGGATAAAAAGGAATGAGCAAAGTCTCCAAGAAATATGGGACTATGTCAAAAGACCTAATTTACGTTTGATAGGTGTACCTGAATACGACAAAGAGAATGAATCCAAGCTGGAAAATACTCTTCAGGATATTATTCAGGAAAACTTTTCTAATCTAGCAAAGCAGCACAATATTCAACCCCAGGTAATACAGAGAACACCACAAAGATATTCCTCAAGAAGAGCAACCCCAAGGCACATAATCGTTAGATTCACCAGGGTTGAAACGAAGGAGAAAATACTAAGGGCAGCCAGAGAGAAAGGTCAGGTTACTCACAAAGGGAAGCTTGTTAGACTTACAGCAGATCTCTCAGCAGAAACCCTACAAGCCAGAATAGAGTGGGGGCCGATATTCAACATCCTTAAAGAACAGAACTTTCACCCAGAATTTCATATCCTGCCAAACTAAGCTTCACAATTGAAGGAAAAATATTTTATGAATAAGCAAGTACTCAGAGATTTTATTACCACCAGGCCAGCTTTACAAGAGCTTGTGAAAGAAGCATTATACATAGAAAGGAACAACCAGTATTAGCCTTTCTAAAAATATACCAAAAAGTAAAGAGCATCAACATGAAGAAGAATTTACGTCAATGAATGGATAAAATAGCCAGTTAACATCAAATGGCAGTAACTCTAAATTTAAGTCGACTAAATCCCTCAATCAAAAGATACAGCCAAAACCTAATGATATGCTACATCCAGACTCATTTCACATCTAAAAATACACAAAGACTTAAAGGGATGGAGAAAGATTTACCAGCCAAATGGAGAGCAAAAATAAATAAATAAATAAAAGTTGCAATTTTTGCATCTGATAAAATAGATTTCAAAGCAACAAAGATTAGTGGTAAAAGGATCAATGCAACAATAAGAGCTAACGATCCTAACACCCGGTTACATAAGACTCATAAAGAGATTTAGACTCAACGAGACAGAAAATTAATAAGGATATCCAGGA